TATTATTATTATTATTATTATTTTTTTTTTCAGAAAAATCAGAGAAATTTTGTTTTTAAGAACTTCAAATGGTAGATGCGGTGTATGGAAGGATTTGCTGAATCTTTTCTTCCGGGAGAGTTGTATGTTGCCCATCTCCTTGGTGGCGAGGAAGCGAGACTTTACCCGACACAGAACACAACCTGACACTCAGTCTTCCTCCTCCCAGGGGCTCTAGAGTGTGACCTGGAGTGAGTCAGTCCCGCCTCCCTGGTGTCCAAAGAAAGCTGGAACTGGTGACCTCCCAGGCCTCTTCCCTGTGGTGGCTGATGCTCCACGAGATGACCCTAAGTCCCCTCGACATCCGGCAGGTCCCAATGTTTGGCTCCCCATTCTCCCATATCAGCCCCAGGCTGTTTTACTCAGGTGACATATGTCTCCCAAGAATACACCCACCCTAATCCCATTTCTAAAACCGTCCTTGCAGACAAACACACTAAGAAAACAAACCCTAGACCTTTGCTTTGTGGATCTCCACCTCGAGGAGCCCGGGGAGCATTCCAGAGCAGCAGCGCCCAGAGCAGGACCCCTGTCCCGGCCAGTCTCCGCTCCTTTGCTGACACAGCACAGGGGCCAGAGTGATGAGGGTCACAGGCAGAGCCACACATCGCACGAAGCTGGAGACTCTTTCACCCCAAGGGGCTGTTTTGGTTCAGCAGCTCCTGTGGCCCGAATAAGTTAATCACTGATGACAAGAGATTAATTTATAACTGGACAGCAGACAAGATAGTTCAGGCTTTGGTGGGGTGGCACTGAACTGTGGCACGGGGCACTGCTCCGAAGAGGCCTGGGTCTGCAGCTCGGAGCCGAGGCTGAGAACCTCAGACCCACGTTGGTTCCTGAGGCCCCTGGTCCAAAGAGAGGAAAGAATGCACTGAGCACTCTCCCTCCCTCTCTGCAGCATGTTTGCTGGTTTGGGAAAGCGCATCCAGGCAGCAGTTGGGCTCAGAAGAGAAATCCAGTTTAAAAAGTCCAGTTAAGAGCAAGCATCAGCCTGCCAGTCTAGCGGGGGACCCACGGCCCGCTGTGCAGGAGGGGAGGAGAACAGGAGCAGGGACAAAGGAGGCAGAAAGATGGAGAAGGACGGGCAGGAGCTGGGGGTGGGGGTGAGAGGTCTTCCTGCAGCCTGCAGCACCCAGCTGTGGATTGCTCCCACTCTAGCAAAGGCAGGTCTGTGAGGATTTGCCCTCCCATCCACACGTATCCCCTGTGTCACTCCCAACCGCAGCCTGCACCCCCCAAAACCCCATTCTGGGCCCAGTAAAGATGAAAGTGAAACATGATGTGCAGGCCCCTTGGGGGGCCTGACCTTTTTGCCCCAGACATTGCTTCTAGGTGGAATAAAATGACCGGTTCCTGGCACGTTGGTGAGCACAGCCACGCACATTGGCCTTGGATGCTGCCACCACTTTGCCAGCTAGGACAGTTTGGGACTCTTAAGTCAAGCCTATTTAGCAAGACACTGTATATGCTAGCAGGCAGCCCCTCACAAAGAGAAATAAGTCTTTCCTCTGCTTACAAATACAAATCTCCCAGAGGCTCATGGCTACAGCAGATAGCAGAAAAGCAGAAGTGGAAGCTGGGCCGTGGGTGGGTGTGAACAGAAGCTCCTCTGGAGACCATCTGGGTGCCTGGAGGGCAATCCTGCCCTCAGGGCACTGGGCTAGAAGGCTGTTGGTGAGGCCACACTTTCGTTAGAGAGAGAATATGAGAGAGGTGGTGGGGGAGGGGGGTAAATGAAAACAAAAATAGAACTGTGAGGCCTGCACCACAAGTGCTGTGTAGAGAAACTCCTGTGTGGGCTGCTGAAATGTGAGTTGCCTACCCCGAGGGGTTCTGGGAGCCCAGCTGAATGGCAAGTGGCTTGTGCTTGACGTATACTGCTAGGAGCCTGACGGTTGTCATTTTTATGCAGTCCCGCTGCCCTGTTCCATGGAGGCACCCCATGCAACGGCCCATTTCTCTGTTTTCGTTCATTTGACGCAGAATGTTCTTTCCTTTCTTCACATCACTAACTTTTGTCAACCACCAAGGCCTGGCAGAGGCACCATCTCCACTAGAAAGCCTTCCATGAAAGTCCAGGTTGGACCTCGGGCTCTCTCTGTTTAGCATCTAAGGCTCCTTATGTTTGCTGCTACAGTATCTGTGGTTTCTCAACCCTGACAGGTAGTTTAGCATCACCCAGGGAACCTTATTAAACATACAAATCCTAGATGCCCAAACCTCCTGGGGTGAATTGGGAAGGGGTGTGTGTGTGTTTTATTCTCACTCAAGGACATTTTGCTTTTAGAGAGAAAGGAAGGGAGAGAGAGAAACATCAATGCAAGAGAGAAGCACTGATTGGTTGCCTCTTGTATGCACCCCAACTGGGAATCGAACCAGGAACCTTTTGGTTACAGGGTGACACTCCGACCACCTGAGCCACACCAGCCAGGGCAAGAAGCTGTGTTATTAGTGTATTTTGGATGCCAGACCAGGGCTGGGTATGTCTTTTCTAGCCTATGTCCCCTGGGCCTGGGCACAGGGCTTAGGTCCTGGAGATCACGCATCACTCGCTGTGCCCAAATAGGCCTGACAGGAAGGGATGCCAAGTTCAAGACCCAGGTCCTTTCATTCATACCATGTCCCTCCACTCACACAGCATGCAGTCTATACTTTGTACCTCAGCTGCTGTGCTGGGGATACAAGAGCAACACCCAACACCATCTCCCCTCACACAGCGTGCAGTCTAGTAGGGGAGGTGGAAGGGAATCACATTACCTACACACGTATTTTGCAAAGTAACAGGACAGTTGTAAAGAAAAAACAAAACTGCTCTGAGAAACAGTAGCAGGGATGCTGGCCTGGGCTGGCTGGTCAGGGAAGGCTGAGCCGAGCCGTAAGGAGGGGTCGTGAAGGACAGGGGAGAGCGGGGAGCAGTCTCTTCTGGGTTCCTCTCAAATCTGTGCTCTGTTGGAAGCCAGCTGGGAGGCACTGGGGGCATCACCCCTCCAGACACCCAGATAGTCACTCCCCCCCAAGGCCCAGCCTTCACTTCTGCTTTTCTGCAATCCGCTCTTGCCATGAGCCTTTGGAAGATGATGTATTTGTAAGTAGAGGAAAGACCTATTTCTCTTGCTGGAGGCAGTTAGATCAGCTTCTGGACACCTTTGCTGAGTTACAAAAGGTGCACCTCCTGTTGATCCCACGGAATCCATCACTGAGAACGTGGCTCAGCTGGTGGAGCACGAGCTGGATTTAAGCCAGCCCCCCACCTCGCTTTCCAACCCCTCCACCCCCAACAAACCGAGCACCCTGTGCAGTGAATGACTTGGGCAACCTTCTGTGGTGGTCCGGCTGCAGTCTCAAGTAGAACATTCTGGCTTCTTGGCTCTTCCTCATAGCTGGAAGATTCCTTTATTCTAGAAGGAGATAATTACATCTTCTGTGGGCATAAATCTGTCCGGACATTCAGGAAGAATTTATTTGTATTTTCTGGAGAACTGGGTGTTTTTCTTATCTAAATTAAAAGAGGATTCTTTTAACTATGATCCAAGAGAGTTCTTTCATATGGTAATTCACACACACTCTCTGGCTGATAAGCCCTAGACTTGGCATCAGGTTCAAAGCAGAGACTGGGTTCAGGTGATGCTTTTTGATCTGTTGCTTTTAGCTGCTGACATTGGGATACTTTTGGCCTGTGAGTAGAAATGGGCCTCAAAAACCTGGTAAAACTAGCTCTCTTTAAAGAAAGTCTGAACTGCCTAGATAGGGCGGAGGAGTCCCAGTTCCATTTGGGAGCCAGAAAAAGAAGCATTTTCTGATGGACGGTAACTCCCATCACACACTAGCCAGAAGGGCCCCTGAGAGGCACCTCATCCAGGGCCCTTTTTTTACCAGTGGGGAAACTGAGGCTGGCTGAGGTCGCTGAGTGAGAGGCGGAGTCACGGTGATGCTCATGGGCACCTTCTTTGGTACCAGAACCTTGCTGGTGGCCAGCAGCGTCCAGCAGGAGGACGGTGGGAGACTACGGATGACTGTACAGGGGGGAGCTGAGAAGGGGACACGGTGTCTCACCAAGGCCAGTGTGGCCCCTCCTCTTTCATGTATAGGAAGCTGCTTTTCTTGCTGAAGAGGGTTGGGGATAAGCATCAACCACAGGGGATGACACTTAGGCGCAGAGTGGGGACAGGGATGGAGAAAGGGAAGATGGAAGCGCTCCCACCTCCAGCGGAACGTGCTCCAGGACGCACAAGGGAAGCTCACGCCACGTCCAGGTTCCACAAATGATGGTAACGATTGGCTGGAGGTGGGTGGGAATTGGATGCCAAAATGACATCCTACCTCAGGTACCATATCTTTCCACTTCTGACATGTGTGAAAACACTTTCAGCTGTGGTGATACGATGAGCTAAGAGGTGCCTGGCACCTAGTAAATGGTAGCATTCCTCCATACAGGTCCTGCTAAGGAGAGGGGCAGAGAAGGGGAACTACAGAGGCCTTTTCTCCTTGAATCCCCTCAGCAGGAGATGGGATTCTCCCCATCTCACAGATGAGAATGTAAGTTTCCTGCCCAAGGTCATACAGCTCGATAGCAGGGGAACTTGGCTCTCATGGCCCCTTGTCATTTCCACCGTGCCATGCTAGCTTCTCTCAGCTTCAGGTGACAGTCCCTTGCCTCTAGGCCCTGCCGTCTGTCTCTGGAATAGCGGTCCCCAACATTTTTGGCACTAGGGGCAGGTTTCATGGAAGACAGTTTTTCCACAGAAGGGGGCTGGGGGCTGGGGGCTGGGGGCTGGGGGGGATGGTTTGGGGATGATTTAAGCACGTTACATTCAAGCTCACCTCCTGCTGTGTGGCCCAGTTCCTAACAGGTCTGGCCCAGTTCCGGTCTGCAGGCCAGAGGTCGGGGACCCCTGCTCTAGAAGACATGTAGCAGACATGGCCCCCGAATCCAAGTGCATCTGAGCAGAAGCGTGGCACCTCATGCGTGTGGCAACTCAAGCACTGGAGAAAGCTGGAAATGGAAGTGCTTTTCCCGAAGATGCAAGGTCTGGGGACACTGGGACATATTGAGATCTGTTTAGTTTTACTTCAATACCAACTTGTTTTCCTTAGGCCCGAGCTCCATCAACGTGCCAGGACCCTGTTCTGATTCAAACTCCGAAAGTCAACACAGACGTCTCTGGTGGAGGCTGCTCCTGCTCCTGCTCCTGAGGGGTCCGGGCACCCCACTTCCTTCTCTTGTCCTGGGTCACTCAGCTCTGGTGAAGAGGCAGGGGCAGCTCTGAACAAAGACGCTTCATCATTTCTCTGGTGAATTTCAACAACTTCTAAATCTAAAAAGTAAAATGCAACATGTTTATTTCCTGTGGAGGGTGTAGGTAGACATGGAAGGACAAATCCAACAGGTGAGTTTTTCTAACTCTTCAGGGCACAAGCAGCAGCTCCTGACCAGCACTCTGGGAGTGAGAGACCTACCCCTTGGTCCCTGATTCCCTCCTGCTGCCTGTGTGATCTTGGGCAAGTTGCTTGACCTCTCTGGGCCTACATGTTTGCGAAGGACTCTTTCAGTGCAAATATTTTATGGTTATGAACACAGAGCGATTTCTCTGTGGAGTGCTGAATTTCGCAGGGTCACCATGGCCAGTGATAGCTTGATGAATTTAAATATTTCTCTTGGTTGGAACAGGAACAGCTATTTAAAACAAAGACTTCGGTTCTTTCCAACTGTGGCCCTAAGTTTGTGGGTTTGGTAGGCTGAACAGACTGTAGAGTCATGCGAATTTTACACTGTAAAAATATTTTCCATTTGCTTACAATGAAATCCATGAGGGGAAGTGGTGTCTCCAAACTCCCCTGAGTTGCAGCCTCAGGACTAGAGAGCTGGACCACACGGCCCACACCCCTCAGTGCACAGTGGGGAGGCCTGGACTCAAGGATGGAAGCAACGCAGGACTCGTGGAGGGCTGGAGACGGGGCAGGAGTGAGGCCCGGTTGCACCATGCTCCATGTAATGCTTGTATCATCTGTGTACGAATAGAAGCTGATCTGAAGGGCAAAGGATTATAAAAATTATACCATTATCTTAAGAAAAACATGAACACATGTAAACACAGTCCCAAAGATATTTATTCAATTTATTTTCAATTATTTTAAATTCAGATGTTTATTCCATTTATTTTCAATTTAACATGCATCAAAACCCGACAGGTCTTTAAACACCTCCACAGACATTCTATTTGCATTTTCTGAAGCCACCCCAGTGAGCAGCTCTGAAATAAATTAAAAAACAACGGTCAAGGCTGAATGCGCACCGAGGTTTCCATGTGCTCGACTCAGCAGATTCAGGTATGACCCCAGCAGAGCCTGGACTCTGAACTGGCACTAACATTCTCTATGCTCAGTGACCATTTCACACAATGAATTCATCTGTGTAATTGTGCTTAGCTGTCCTGAGATTAACTCCATGTTTGCATGAAGATCAGAATGCTTACTTTTAAAAGTTTGGTTTTCTTCCACTTCTGTCTTATCTGGGGAGGTATTCATGCTTGGAATTTCCTGGGCTTTTCTTGTAAATCTCTTGGAGGCTCTGTGAATGTGAGGAGGAGAATCGGGGGTCGGGTCCCTTACCTTTTATTGTTTGTTCTCTGTGGGAAACAAGGATGAGCCATCATTCCTCACTGTTTTGATGTCCGCTTATCAAAGGCAACCCAGGATCCTGGGATCTTAAAGTGAGTAACAGCATTCTCGCTAGCCCCCACCCTAAAACCCCATGCTACTTAGGACATGATCTAGAATTCTGCTTCGTTAAAAATATTCCTATTAGATTATAACTTATGTACAGTAAAGAGTACACATTTGAAGTGTACATCTTGATCGATATGTAGTATACCTTCATTTGGCAGTGAAATATCTGTTACGGGTTTTTCCAAGGACTGCTGCACCCACGTGGGGCGGAGACTGACTTCTGAGGTGCTGGAAGGGCGGTGGCATGACTCATGTCAGAAGGGTTTCCTTCCTATCCTTTCGCCTCACCTACACTGTAGCCACGAGTTCTGGGAGAAACACTGGAAGGCACATTGCACTTTCACTTACAATGGGGATCTGCAGGGAAAAGGGAGACATTTGACTGGGGTGGGGTGTTTTCACTTAATCATTACCACAGCTGACATCAGTGAAATCCAGGCAGTGTGCATGGTCCGCATGGGCACCTACGATGAGTGGAAAGCAGGCCGGGGTCTTAGTGAGTGTTATGATGAGGTAGGGGGCAGACAGACCACAAAACTGAGAGGGGAAGCAATGAGGTTGTGCTTCAGCTTCAGCGTGCTATTGCTTCTTTGTGGCTGAAGCGTCCAAACTGCCCTGGCTATTTCAAATCGGATGTCAGGAGGGGAGTCGTTGTTTTCCCGCCCCGGGGTGGGTGCCCAGGACACAGGGCAGCCCTGAGAACAAATGCGTCCTTCGCTGAAATAGGAAGCCAACTATTTACTTACGCAAGTAATGCTGTTAAAGGGCTTTACAAGTTGAGTTGCAGCTCCTGAGCTTTGGACTGACCCCGAGATTTGTCTCAAAAGGCTCTTCCAGAGGAAGGAAAGTCCTGAGGCTCTCAGGTTGAGGACTGACTCAAACAATTTAAATCAAGTCGAACCTCCTCCATCTACAAGTTGAACCAGCTGAGGCAAAGGCTCTTAAGACAGCTTCTGAAGAAAGATGACATTATCATTTCAACCTGAATACGCATGGTTTCAAAATTCATTTTGTGAAGTGTTAAAAAATGTTTGAAAATAAAATTCACTTTTAAATCCTCTGATTCATCTTAATCACTTTCTTGCAGACCTTCAACTCCCCCCCTTCATCATGCTCCTTTGGCAAAACCACAACCAGTTAGATCTGACTTCCCACTCACCTAGCACCTGACCCTGGGTAGCTGTGTGAGGTTAGAGAAAAACGCCCAGCCATGCTGCTGGCCCACACTTTCAGTTCACAGCCTCGAACCTCAGGTGGCTCCTTAGTGCTGCCAGGGATCATACCACACGTCCCTTGTCAATATGCGTGGACATATCCCACTCAGTCAAGTATTTGTTGAATGAATGGATGGAATAAATGGATTTTAAGTAGGGTCCCATTGGTGCTTGCCCAAGTTAGGAAGTGAATTTTATTTTAAAAACCTTTTTGTTAAATGAGCACTGGCCTTGGACCTCCTAGCAGTGACCTAGCAGTCCCAGTGCTGCTGCTTACTAGCTGGGCCGTGCCTAGTGGGTTGCACTTGCTCTTGGGGACTCACTGTCTTTTATAAAGTGAGGTGGCTGGACCAGGTGCACTAGCAGATGGGGAGTCTCTCTAGATATTGGTTGAATGGCTGATATGAGGTCCCTACCTTCTGCTGAAGCTCATCGATCTGCAATTCTTCTTGAGCCAACCAATCAGGAGAGAGAGAAGTGAGGTCATACATGAAGAGAAACATTTGTCAGACAACCTTTTCTTCATTGGTCTCTGATTTTCCTTTCTGGTTCTGCAGCTAGAAACAGATTCCAAAGTAGGCAAACCTCACACACTAAAAAAGCAAATGGTGGCTTGGATTCTGAGCAAACTTCAGATGGAGCATAGTGGAGAGATGCCGTTGAACTGGGATTTGGGGACCTGGAGTCCAACCCAACTCTGTCACTGATCATCAGTCCTTCCCTCCTCTTGGGCCTCAGTTTCCTCATCTGTATAAATGAGTGAGTTTGAATTCACTAAGCCTTTGCCTGGCTTCCATCCTTCCCTATCACTGATGGCTTTTTTTTTTTGCCATTTTTAACCTGCCTGTCCTATTTCAGATCAAAACAGGCACAGCTTTGGCAAGCTGATGGTTTTACAAGCCCTGAAACATGCTTTGTAAATAAATGATACAGGCATTAGGGATACTGCCTGGAAGCAGTGGACCTTGGGGAAAAAGTGAGACTTTGGAATTATAAGAAGAATAGAAAGATGCGTACAGTAGAAACATCTGTCCTTGAGTTTAAAACCAGCTGCACAAGTGACCACAGCCTGCAGGACACCCACAGGAGCTAGGAAGACGGCATGGCGCCTGCCCAGGTGTGTGGTATGTAGGCAGTTTGGGGCTACGTGGGCAAATCATTAAAAACAAAGTCTCTAGTGAGAAATTTTTCAATTATCTTTCGGTTTTTCCGATTCCTTTAAGGGGCCTGTTGCTGTGCTAGAACGCCCTGATAACCTCTAACCCTGAGTGACCTGTCCCTTCCTCCCCAACAAGAGCCTTCCCTGGCCCCGGCTCTTTACTGGACAGAGACAGGACAGGGCTCCGAGGCAGAAGCTTTACCAGCCTAGAATTTGATAATATTGTTTTGCTTTATTGCAAAACAATATTTTTGTGGTTACTTTCCATTGAGGAAAAGTGGTATTACTTTTTTCCATTTCTTTAAAATATGTGTACTTAAGTTGAAAAGACTGAGTTGATTTCTATAAAAATATTAAATAAGAGTGCATGTTCTCTACATGATGTGGCAACACAGGGCAGATGGTTCCCAGGGTCTGGCGGGCACAGGTGAGCGGCATTCCCCAGCGCAGCCTGTGCGGGCAGGGGCGGCTTCTCCGACACCACCAGAGTGCCTGGAATGCCATTTAGAAACCCACGTGATGGGACCCACTCTGGTTTCTGTATGCAGGTGGGGTTGTCACTGGAAGGAGCTCAGACTCCGTCATTTCAGGCAAGTTACCGGCCTTCGCCACCTCCTGCCGGTGCAGCAGTGACCAGTCACCCCGCAGGAGTCCCAGGGCGAGCGTTCTGCAAATCTAGGCTCACGAGTGGCATATTTCAGCTTCCAAAGTACACACCTCTTTAATTTAACCTGATGTGATTCTCCTTTCGTGTAAAGGAATCAACAATGGTTCTATGGGAAATTTCTTGCCCCAATAGGCTAAAATTTTTTTGTTTCTTTGTTTTTTTGTTTTTCTGTTCTTTGAAGCCGAGCAAGGACAGGTTTGAATAAACATTGCTGCCTTTAGGGAAGGAGTGCAGAAGGCGCTCACTAGCTCGCGCTGGGTGTCCACTGCGCACGCGCGCGGAGGGCGGTGCTCAGCGTCTCACCGAATCCTCGCAAAGGCCTCCTCCCGGTGCTAATGGGTGTTCCTCGTGAAGAGGGTTCTGTCGCTTGAAAAAACACTCTGATGTTAATCAGAGTTAAATGAATTATTTTTCAGTTTTCTCAGTTTGTTTAGCCTAATTTATATGAGAATCACCAAGCCGCAGAGGTGATACTCTGCATTTGCCAAGCTCACTTGACAGTGAAACCCTTCCCGACACAGCTCCTGGGACGGATGTTCCAAAGAGCGTACCTTGAGAGTCACTGGTGACGGCAACCGTGCAAGGTAATGTTTATCCTGGTAATTTACAAACGGGGAAACCGAGGCTAAGATACGCTGACTCGAGTCGCTTGACTAAGTCGTTCCTGAGCTCCGGGTGTGCACCCAGAGCCCCTGGCCTTGAGCCTGCGCTCGGTCCCACTTTCCTCTGCTCCCGCTGTCCACAGCCCAGTCATTCTGGTGGGGGAAGAAGACAGTAGACTGGATGAGTGAATGAAATGTTAGATGGTGGTCATCAATCAGGGAAGAAGGTGGGACCTGGACAAGGCGGGGCTGAAATGTCGGGGGCTCCGAGGTTGCATCGGGGCGCCCAGGGAGGCCTCACAGAGACGGGGCGCTGAGGTCCCACAGCACCAGCCCTTCGAAGAGAGAAGGGATCCTCCGTTTGTTGTGCGTCTAGTAGATGCCGGGCATCGCGTATTTCTATACCCCTATTTTTTTTCTTTTCTAACTTAGAGATGAGGGAGGCTCAGAGAAGCCTAATCATTTTTCCTAGGTCACTCAGCCCGAGTCTGGAAGAGGCAGAGTGAGAAACCGGTTTGACGCACTCCCTCCGCGAAACAGTCCGCCAGGCCAGGCACCGTCGCCCCACTTTACCGGACAGGAAACAGAGTCCAGAGAGCCCCAGGGGCCTGCGGAGCCGGGGCTGGAAGGAGCGTAACCTCGTGCCTATCCCAGGTTCCTTTGCACTTCAATACACTGTCCGGGGTAATGCACACAGGCACTGTTCTTTGTACCTTGCGGGGTACAGAAAAAAAAAAAAGAAGACTCAGGGGCTTGTTGAGAATGCCTACGTGTGAAATTATAGAAGCTGACTTACCGCGAAGGGACAGTGACTAAACGCAGTCATTTGCCGTAGTGGCACTGCTTCACCATCTTGGACAACTGGGACGGGACTGGTGGTAGCATCCTCACCCCTTACTGGTCGTGGGATGGGCCAGAGGTCACAATAGGACATCATCTCGCCAGTGAGGCCGAATCCCCGCCCCTCCCGGCCCCACAGGATCAGAGTGTGCATTGTCCTAACAGGGCCCCAGAGGATCCCGAGCACATTCAGGTCTGAGAAGCGCTGAGCCGATTGCCTCCTTTGTAAGGCACATCCCAGTGGGCACTGGTGGCTCCTCCCACCCCGCCACGAGGCAGGGTGGGCGCACAGTGCATCCAGCCAGCCTGGGGAGGGATGGGAGGGTCCATGTCAGTCAGAATCGCAGGACAGGGTGGACAGGGTGGGCAGAGCCAGGGAGGC